TAAGCGGGGAGCCTGCTTCCTCCTCTCTCTCTGCCTGCCTCTCTGCCCACTTGTGATTTCTGTCAAATAAATAAATAAAATCTTTAAAAAAAATAAAAAAAAATAAAAACTGTGTCTATCCATGTTGACTCTTATGATCTTCAACAAATTTTATGCTTCTTCAAGTAGGTTATACTCATTACTTGCTAAGTTTATTCCTAAGTATTTCATTGTTTTGTTGTTTTGAAGGATGAAATTCCCTTTATAATTATATTTTCTACCAGGTTATTGCCTATCTAAAGAAAAATAATCATGATATATTTATTTTTAGTGCCCTTTCTTAGTATTTCTGATAGTTTTTCAGTTGAAACATTTGGTTTTTCTAGGTATGCATACATAATCCTCTTCAAATGATTTTTTTAAATTTCCTCTTTTCCAATATTTATATCTCTTACTCTTTCATTTTCTGGATGTACTGCATTGACTAGAACCTCCAGAAAGATGCTGAATAATGGTGATTGAGGGCCTCCCAACCTTGTTCCTGAAGTAAATGGGAATAACCCCTACTATTTCACCATTTAGTGTGAGTTTGCTGTTTGTTTCTGATGTGTTCTCCTTCTGTTTTTGTGTGAGTGGGGTGATGTCTAAAAGCTGCACTTTTAGGGTGCCTGGTTGGCTCAGTCAGTTAAGCATCTGACCTCAGCTGAGGTCATGATCTCAGGGCCCTGGAATCCAGACCTCCCACATTGGGCTCCCTGCTCAGTGGGAAGTCTTCTTATCCCTCCGCCTCTCCCCCTGCTCATGCCCTCTTCCTCCCCCCTCAAATAAATAAAAGGTGCATTTTCATAACCCCTTATATAAGACTGAGAAAAATTCAGTTGTCCACATCATAATATTGGGAGGGAGAGGAGACCAGGGAGAATTGCCATAAATTCTGTGCTTATTGTGAATATGTTGGTGAACAAAAACAGACACTGATTCTGGAAACAAGACCTTGATGAAATAATCACACATGCATACAAGCCAAAAAAATATTGTGAATGAATGGAACATACTAATATAATAAAAGAAGTGGCAGAGTCTGGGAATCAAAAAAGACTTCCTTGTGGGGGGAAAGGGAGTGAAAGTTTGAACCGAACTGAAGGAAAGCAAGTATTAACTAGGAAAGGAGGGGAGCTGGAGATAAGAATGTTCAAATTCTCCACCTTTCTGATAACCACCGTGATAACCCATATACCTCAATCCTAGGATAAATCCTGTGAAAATCACTGTTAACTTTTCAATTGACTCTCCAGGGTTTGTTGGTTTTTTTAATAGATATCATCACCAACTATATATATATATATATATATATATATATATATATATATATACACACACACACATATATAAATGTAAGTAGGTACATTGTATGGGTGTATATACACATATAGCTTTTAAAAATAATCTGGGGTCATAGAATGCAAACTATTTGTTCACCTAATATATTGTGTACATTATTTTATCAGATACAATAACAGTCTGCAGTGTGGATTTACCAAAATTTTACCAGTCTATTAATGATTGATATTTAGCCTCTTCCCAATCTTGGTCTATTACAAAAATGCTAAAATGGGAACCTTCATACATATATATTTTGACAATTGTGGCATTATTTTCTTATGATAAATTCCTAGAAGTGGACTGACTGGGTCAAAGTAGATGTTCATTTTTAATTATACCCATGTTGCCAAATTTCACCTCTTAAATTTTGATATATATATATTCCATGTTCTGCTCCAAAATTTTCCAATTTCTTTAATTATATGTGAGATTAAGCATCTTCTCATAGGTTTGTTAACCATTTGTATCTTTCTTTCTATGAATTGCCTTTCCGTATTTTTCCATTAAGATTTTCATCTTTTTCTTATTAATATATAAGAACTTTCTGTAAATCAAGGAAATGAGCTCTTTGACTATTATAAGTGTTATAAATATATTCACAGTTTATAATTTTTTGGACTTCTGCAATATGGAATTTTTAAATCTTTATGATACAAAACTTATCAATTATGTCTTTACATTTTGGGGGTTGTCTGTTCCGCTTAGGAAGGCCTAGATTTTCTTCAAATGTGATAATCATTTTGCAATATATATGTGTATCAAATCATCACACTGTATACCTTAAACTTACACATTATATTCAATTATATCT